CTGCTTCTATGAGGGTGTTCACCCACCCACTCCAGTCTCCCCACCCTGGCATTTCCCTACACTGGGCCATTGAACTTTTACAGGACCAAGGTCCTCTCCTCCTACTGATACCCGACAAGGCCCTCCTCTGCTACATATGCAGCTGGAGCCATGGGTCCCTCCATGTGTACTCTTTGATTGGTGGTTTAGTCCCTGGGAGCTCTAGGATGTCTAGTTGGTTGATATTGTTCATGTAGGCAATATATTTTTTATTTGTGGTAGCGTGTGTGTGTCTCTATCTCACTGTCTCTGCCTGTGTTTCACTCGTGTCTTGATTTTTGCATGCATATGTGTTCTGTTGCCTGTAAAGGCCAAAGGATGTCATCAAAAGTACTGGAAGTGGAATTATAGAGTGTTATGAGCATCATAATATCTATGTTGAGAATCCAGTTCTGGTCCTTTGCAAGAACAAAAACTGCTTTTCATTGTTGAACCTTCTCAGCAGCCATAGGAAGAATATTTTTTATCAGTGTTCAATAATTCCAATTAAAGATTTTTTTTAATAAATTGAAAATATTTTATATATTAATTATTTTTATTAATAGTATCAGAACAGGAACCCAGAACATTGGGGCGGGCAGGAAGCAAGAAACACACACCACTGCCACAGGCATCAATTTGTGTAGTGTAATGTGTTAATTGGGTTCTGCTACATCAATCCACTAGCATACACTTCATGAAATTACCAGTAGTCCAGTTCAATAGAGTCCAGATAGCAAACATGAATCAACATTGGTGGCAGGACCATAGGAGAAATGACTATGCCTCAGCTGAATCAACAGGAGTCAGTAGGAAGGACCAGAACCAGCAGAGATGCAAGGAGAAGTTCTTTGCCATACCTTTCTCAATGAATAACATTTCAGCCAAGAGGTGAGAACAAGAAGTATAGCAGGGCTAGTTGTGCAAGCAAGCCAAGCCCCATGCTCCCCATCACTGGCCATTGGTCCTATTCATACTCCCTCCAAACATCTCATGTCCTCAGTGTGTCTTGCCTCAGCACGTGTCTGTCTTAGCAAAACTCCACGTGAGTTGCATCAAGTGGTATTATTCTGCCAATGGGTCTGAGACGATGAAAATAGCAAAAGACTGACAAAGCATCACCAAAAGTTTTTTTGGTGCATTTCTCTCTTTGTAGTCACAACAAACAGACCTCATCTATGCAATGTAAGGTGAACCAATACATATATAGGAAGAAGAGTCTTTTTGGGGTGGAGGGGTGAAAAGTTTGAGATGAGGTGAGGTGGACCCAATGAGAGAGTCCTTCCAGTTTAACAGCTGTGGGAGTCATGAGAATTACCTTGCAGGGGCCCTCCCATTTCAGAGAGAGAGGTAAAGGCTTTTGATCCAGAAGAGATAGATGAATCTTGTCAGAGATGAGGCTGTCATGGCTGCCAGCAGCAAGAGGAGGGCTGGGGTGATGGCATCTTTCTCCTACATGATGGTACAGTTTTAATCCAGAATGGTTCCTATTCACAGTACAAGAATTAGATTCTGTATGAGATGGACAGGATTCTCTAAAAATTTCTGTGGGAGGTACAAAGACGTAGAAGGTCATGGAAAGATTAAGTACTATGAGAGAAATCTCCATAGACCTGCTTTGCCACTGCTGATGCAGATCTGGACCCTGGTACCCTGGCGGCAGTGTCTGGGGATAAGTTGCTTACCCTGATGCCTATATTTGTCCTGTTGACAACATCCTTCTGAGTCCTAGGCCAGATACTGATCTGGCTAACAGAATCAAGGAAGGAAGGGAAATCCTATGTTTCTCACTGAAGTATCCATCTCTGGTTCCTGATCTGGGTTTTAGTACCTATATTAATGTCATGGACTGTACGTGGTATGCCGAGGCCAAGCCTTGACTTCTTGATGATCAAAAATCACAGATAATTGACGAAGGATCAAGATATTTAGAATGTAGCTGGCTGCTCTGGCAGTGGCCTTGCCCAACACGTGCCTAAAAGGCCAAAAGTAGAAGTATCAGGAGCTGGGAAAGATAATGTACTATTGAGAGTTAGCTGTTGATCCCCAACTCAAAAATCTGTCTCTGGCATAATCTTCCACATGCTTTCAAGATCCATACAAGCAGGACAATACTCCGCACACCCATAGAGACCTTCTAAAAATGTCAGCCACCTATGTAATGGCCAACACTTAATATCTCTGAGATTAAGGACACAGGTGTACTTTCTTTCATTTTGGGGGGTGGGGGTGATCCTATGCAGAAGCTGCATCCCTTTGCCACACCTGTGCTCACACAGGCATCTATTATCAGATCTGATATTATCTTGTTGCCATAGTTTAGGTATGTGTCCTGTGGCAGCTTTTATAGCTCTATAGTCGTTGCATGGTAGGGTGAGAAATGGGAAGCAGTGGTCATGAAGAATGAGAAAGACTTCCTCTCCCTCAGTTGTTCTCTCTGCTGAATCAAAGGGCTTTGAAGTCATATGTGGCTCTGATTTCATGTTTTTGTTGTGTCCCAGGTATAGACTGGGCTCTAGAACATGATGGAGAAAGGTCTCCAGGCCTGGGCTCGAGAAGATGTCTCAATACACACATGAAAGGGAAGTTCTCCATCAAATCCACAAGCAACCTTTCTTTCATCTTCCAGACTCTACAATTAGGAGATATATTTCTCACATTTACTTCTCAGTAAGTGGTAGAGGATCTGCCAGGTAAATCAACATGTTCTAAGCCCTGGGATCCAGCAAAGAAACAAGGGAAAAATCTCAACCCTGGGATTGAAATGATGGCTTAGGTTGTAAACGTGCTCACTGCTCACGCAGGCCTCTAGGATCTAGAAAACCAAGCAAGAAAAAATGCTGACATGTGCTTTAGGGCCACAAACATGTTAACAATGTTAGTCTTTCTAGAAATGCTATTGATTTCAGCAACAGCATTCTTTATTTTCTGTCTGCTGTGCCCTGTTCTGTAGGCTGGAGTTAAAATAGGATAACATGACTTCATTTTGAAGGGTTTCCTATTTCACAAAACGTGAGTAGATACCCCAGTGACTACTATGAAATCCACTAGGGATTTAAGCATTGTACCATCAGGTATTAGCTTATTTTTTTTTATTCTATTCACCTTTCCTTCCAATCAACCTATATTCTATATGAAATGCACATACTACTTGAGATTTATTTGGATTGATATTAGCATAGTAGAGCTATGTCCACAATATTCTATTTGGTTTTTAATTTGTTCAATTATTTTTTTTTATTTCTTACTTTGGAAGAGGTTGTCATTATGTAGCCCAGGTTGATCATGAACATGCAAAAATCCTGTTGACAAAGCATCTTCTTTGCTCATATTACAGACATAAAACATCCAGGGCTGTGAGAAACCAGGCTTTACCTCTCACAACTTTGATAGAATGGGACAGAGAGCTGCTGTGTGACAATGCCAGAAATACTTTCTAATATTGTCACTGAGAGTTAAGAACAGAAGACAATGACACCTGACTCATACACAAAACTGAGAAGAAGCATAATTCCTGTTGAAACGTGAATGTAAACATGACCCTATTTAACATCAGACTCAGGCCTGAACAGGCTATGTGCCCACACGAAAGAACAGTACAGACAATGGACAAGGCCCTAAGAATGCCTGAGATCTTTTGATCACATGATCTATAGAAGCAGTTGTATTGAAAGAGCTGGAATGAGGAGATATCAAGATGACACAGGTAGAATGGGGCAAAGTGAAAGCCCAAACAAACTTATCAACAACAGTGGCAGGTTACACCTTGCTTGAATCTACACAGCAGCCAATGCCAAATAAGTAAAGTATTAACACAGCAAACACAAATTTCATAAGGTTCCGAACCTTTATTTTCTCCATCAAGATTTATTGATCTTTAGGACATCAATCAGTCACACAATCTGGCAAGAAGTTTCACAACCATATAAGAATGCTTAATTAAGAACAGAAGCATGGATATGTAGTTCAGTGACAGCTAATTCTCATGAAGAATGGAGGTTTCCCAGCCTTGCCTGTGTTGGAGCACGAGAGATGACTGGGGAATACACACAGTAAGAATGGGGATGGGGCTTGTTGCTGCCCAGGACCTCTTACACTGGGCTCAGAGTAAACAGACACATAGTCACAGATGTAAAAAGAGAAAGCACCAGGTCTTGAAGCCACAACCAGAGGAGAAAGCAGAAAAAATATTGTATGGCTCAGTACCACATTAAGGAATCTGTCTTATCCTGTAGATAAAAAGGAGGAAGAAGCTCAGATATGTAGCTTTAAATGATGACATACTGGAAAGTCCTTCACACATTCAACCTGTCCCAGTTCCCAACCGTCAGAGTTATATCTTCTGGTCCTCTCCCTGTTGCACACCAGGCCCTTTCGGGGCATCACTGTTTAATGCTGCAACAGAAGGCTGGATATGCTAGAAAATTTACCTCCCAGTATAAAGCAAAGTAAGACCACATCAAAGCTTTTGAAGACAGAAAAGAGGAGTTATGAGATAGTTGAGATTCCCCATGGGCGCTTTTCTATATCAGTATAAATTTGTTATAGAAGAGCCACAACTATTGTTACTTACAAGACTGAACATAGCTGTCTCCTATTTATCCCCTGGAAATAAAACATTTTATTAGATGTCATGGAGGCAGCATGATTTAGAAGGGCTAGAGGAATCTCCTGATGTTTAACTCAGGTAAGTGTCCAGAACTGTTAGTGTCGATCCAGATGAAAAATAGGGAAGGGCTATCTAGACTCCTGGGTGTCTATTCTATATAGGAGTTTCCCTCTGACATCAAAGAGCTGAAAATAAGGTCTCTGTCACCTCTCTCATTGTAGTTATGAATCTGTTTATTATTTTCTTTACGCTTCACATGGTGTTACTCTCAATACATCTACCATGTATGAATTGAAGTTGTGTGGATGAAATTTACTGTCACGTGGCGGGGTACTCTCACGGTTTAGGCTTGTTGTTCCTATGGAGACATGAACTAAGACTCTGTCCATTTCTTACCTCTAGTCCTCCTCTTCCATATCAGAAAAGTCGTCACTGCTCCCATAAGCAGAGCTCCAAGAACCACAGCAATAATAATAGCCATGATGGGGATGGTGGGCTCAGGAGGCTCTGGAAAGGGAATGAAGTGAAGGAGAGTGAGCATCTGACTTCTAGCTCTCTGTCTTGAACATTTCCAGTTGTCCCTGAGGAGTGCCACTCTCTCTGAATAGTCTCTGTACTCACTTCCAGTCCTTACCCCATTTCAGGGTGATGACCTCGGGCAGCCCCTTATGATTCACATGACATGTGTATCTCTGCTCTTCTCCAGAAGAGACCACCACAGCTACCCACTTCTGGAAAGTTCCATCTCCTGAAGGCCTGGTCTCTACCACCTCCATGTACTGGATCTGGTTGCATCCATCTCTCTCCCAGGTGAGAGTAATTTCAGGAGGGTAGAAGCTTAGGGCCCAGCACCTCAGGGTGATTTTCCTGTCAGGTCTGGCCCTATGGATCACGTGTATTTTAGGGGGTTCTGAGGGAAACAGTTCAAAATTTAAAGTATTTGGCATTCTTCCTGGGTATTTATCAATGCTCCTGTAACTTTGTGTGAATGCACAGGAGAGTTAGAATAAAGATCTGTCAAACCCACATAGCACCATAAACTCGGGTTATGGATGGGTTAATCTAGTCCTTGGAAAGTTTCATAAACAGAATGACCTAGTACAGAGCAGGAGATGCTGGATCTCCCTCTAGTAATATGGACTTCTGGTTCTGACTGGGTAGAGAGAGATAAAAGACTCAGAAATACTGGGGTCAGACCTCAAAGACATTGTGATGGACAGTGAACAGGCCTGAGAGAAGTCATAGTTCACAATGCAAGTAGAATGAACTGCTGCTTAATTGTCAGTCTGAACTGTCCTGAGAGAAGGCTTAGCCTTCTGCAGAGTCCCTCTTTCATGTCCATCCAGGAAACTCACAATCACTCTTTCCCTTTTGATGAAAGACAAAGTTAGTAGACTATCTGCTCTCTGCTGAGGAGAAATACTCACGGGACAGGAGCTACAGTATAAGAATAGATGGGGCAGTTTCTGTCCTTACCTGTTCTCAGTAAAATCTCCTTCCCATACTCCAGCTCTGTGAGGAGTGAGTCCAAACATTCAACCTCCAGATAAATCTTCATAGTTTCTGCAAAACCGTGCTTCTCCCACCGTTGCCTGAGAATCTCTGGTGCCTTGCCAACTGCTGTCCAAGTCCTCAGGTCCTCATTCAGCCTGATGTAATCATGGCCATTGAAAGATACTTCTAAGAATCCATGACTGAAGTACCCTCGAGGCAAGGCATGGCAGCCATACCTCCTCTGGATTGTGTGATATCCTACACAAGTACACATTCTCAGTCACTCCAACAGGCCTTAACCTTTAAGAGGGCCCTTGTTTGGATTGTTCCCTCCCTTATGACATTTCTAAGTGGCCCAATTTGGTCTTAAACTGCACAGAAAACCAGGACAGTGTCCCATGGCTCTCTCAAGCCATTGGTCACATTTTCCAAGGGAAAACCTTGGACATGGAGATCTGGGTCAACCACTTGAAAAGCAGAAAATTTGAGATTTCTGATTGGGGCACACTCACCAAGCGTACTGTAGTTGTAGGTGTGGAGCATTAACTGCAGTAATTGTCCCATGGTCTCAAAATCTCTCAGGGCCCTCTGTGACTTCTTCTTCCAATAATCTTGGTTATGATGATCTCTCCATGGTGCACAGTGCTTCATCGCAGGAAAGTTTTCTCCGCTGTCGAACCTCTCAAACTGTGTATCATCCAGAAAGCCAACACTGATAAACTTGGGCTCCAGAAGACCATACCAGATGAAGAGAGTTTGGAAAGAGCCAACAAAGTGTGAACCTAGGTACAGTGAGCCTTTAGATATTAAGCCCACACTAGGACCCTATGGTGCTCTACAACATAGCCCCTGAGGATAGCTAGGAGCAGGAAACAAGGGACAGGCACAGGATACACAGTAGAAAAGGGAACACCTGTTCTCCTGGGTTAGGGAGAAGATGGACTTTCATGGTGCTGCATCCATAGGGATGGAGTCCTTCGTTTCTCAGGTAGGGTACTTTCCCTATAGACACCCACACTCACCTTCTAGATGGCTGGTCAGGGCCAGCACAGTCAGGAGCCAGCAGCAAGAGAGCCTTGATAACAAAGGTCTTCATCCTATTTTAAGGGTGGAGAAGGAGTAGTAGGTGTTCATTTTATAATCTTGAACAGAGGAGGCTGATTGGTTTCTCTTTAAAATTCCCAAAGGTAGTGAGAGTGATAGAAGGTGTTTGTGTTGGGCCATGGAAAGGTGAATGCCTGAAAGGAAACTCTCTACGGTCCTGCTTTCCCAGCTTAGATCCACCACAGATGTGTCGCCTCAAGCATATTTCAGTCAGGGACTCTTAGAATTAGCCTTCAATGGCCATGATTACATCACACTTTGTGAGGACCTGAGGACTTGGACCACAGTTGGCAAGACAGCTGAGATGCTCAGATAACTGTGAGAGGAGTCAGGTTATGCACAAATTGTAAAGACATGTGTGAAAGGTTATTGCATGGACTCACTCCTCACAGAGCTGGGAAGGATATTTTGCTGAGATTGTTAAGGACAAACTGTTCCATCTGTTCTGAGACTGAAGCTCCTGTCCCCTGAGGTTTTATCTTCAGCAGGGAGCAGCTGGACTACTAACTCTGGCTTGCATCAAAGGGGAAAGAGTGTTTGTGAGTTCCTGAGTCAACAAAAGAGGGACTCTCCAGAGGGCTAAGCCTTCTCTCAGGATAGTTCAGTCTTTCAGTTAAGCAGCAGTTCCTTCTATTTGCTTTGTGAACCATGACCTCTCTCAGGCCTGTTAACTGTCCGTGTACAATGATTTTGAAGGTCTGATCCCAGTGTTTCTGAGTCTCTCATTTATACCCAGTCAGAAACAGAAGTCCATATTCCTAGAGGGAGATCCAGTATCTCCTGCTCTGTGCTGGCTCATGCTGATTCTGAAACTTGTCAAAGAACACATTACCCTATTCATATCTGCATTTAGGCTGCTGTGTGGAGTTGGCTCCTCTCCTTCAATTCAACTATCCCTTCCATTCTTAAAACAACATTGAGCTTTGATGGATCCTCAGGAAGAATGCAGAATGCCTTAAGTTTTTAATGATTTCCCTCATAACCCCCTAAAATACAGGTGATCCATAAGACCAGACCTGACAGGAAAATCACCTTGAAGTGCTGAAATTCTATTTTCCTGAAATCACCCTGATCTTCTTTTCTCCTGAAATCACCCTGACCTTGGAGAGGGACGGGAGAAAGCAGAACCAGGACATAGAGGTTGTAGAGATCAGGCCTTCAGGAGATGAAACTTTCCTTCCAGAAGTAGGCATCTGCAGTATGCTTCCTGGGGAAGAGCAGAGGTACAGATGTCATATGGATCGTGAGGGACTGCCTGACCCATAATCCTGAGATGGGACTGGGAGTGAGCACAGAGACTACTCAGAGAGAGTGGCAGTCCTTCGGGACAACCGAATCTGGATCAAAACTGTGAACTGGAGGTCAGATGCCTGAATGTTGCTTCCCTTGCTTCCCTTCCTTTCCCTCCCCAGAGCCTCCTAAGCCTACCATCCCCATCATGGTTATTGTTACCACTCTTGTTCTTAGAGCTCTGCTCATGGGAGCTGTGGTTACTTTCCTGGTATGGAAGAGGAGGACTAGAGATAAGGAAGGCTCCAGGGTATCTTAGCTCATGTTTTTGATTAGAATATCAAGCCCAAGCTGTGATGGTGTCCTGCCACATGACAGCAAATTTCCTCCACGCAGTTGCTGATTCAGCCTGGCGGTGAAGTGCTGACATTAACTCCATTGTGAATAATAAAGAAAATAATGGATAGATCCATAACCACAATGACAGAGGTGGCAGAGACCTGATTCTTAGCTGTCAGAGGTAAGAGAGAAATTTCTTACTTTGAATAGATATCCAGGAGTCCAGTTAGCTTTGTTCTGGTACACTCTTCTATCATGATTCCTCCAATTTCTGAAAACTTATCTGACCAGGACCAGGAGATCTCTTAGGCCTTCTAGATCCTGCTGCTTCCATGATCTCTAATAAAAGAACTGAGAGATAAAAACTGAGACAGCTATATCCGGGCTTTCCAGTAATTATAGCTTCTATCTCTCCAATACTCATGGTAATACATACAGGCTTTATTTCCATTAGTTAAAGAAGAGATAGCTCATTCAGTCTTGCCAGTAATATTAGTGGTAGCTTATCCCTATGAAACTTGTAGTAATACAGAAAGAGCCTACGGGGAATCTTAGCCCTCCCGTAGCTCCTCATTTAGTTCCATCTTCAATGTCTTTGACCTGGTCTTAATTTGCTTTTCACTGGGAGGTAAAGTCTCTAGAATGTTCAGCCTTTTGTTACAGCATTAAAAAGTGACATCCTAAAGGGCCTGGTGTACAACAGGTAAAAGACTAGAGGATAAAACCCCGGGGGATGGGAACTTGGGATTGGGATAGTTTGAGTGTGTGATGGCCTCTTCAGTATATCACCATTTAAAGACACTGATCAGAATTTCTTCCTTGTCTTTTTATCTACAGGATAAGACAGATTCCTTAATGTGGTACTGAGCCATACAATATTTGTTCTGCTTTCTCCTCTGGTTGTGGCTTCAAGACCTGGTGCTTTCTCTTTTTACATCTAACTATGACTATGTGTCTGTTTACTCTGAGCACACTGTAAGAGGTAATGGGCAGCAACAAGCCCCATCCTCATTCTTACTGTGTGTATTCCCCAGTCATCTCTCGTGCTCCAACATAGGCAAGGCTGGGAAACCTCCATCCCTCATTCGAATTAGCTTTCACTGAGCCACAACTTCATGGTTCTTTTGTAAATTAAGCATGTGAATATGGTTGTGCAACTTCTATTCAGATTGTGTGATTGATTCGTGTTCTAAAGATGAGAAAAGTTACTAGAGAAAATAAAGGCTCAGAACCTCATGAAATCCATGTTTGCTGTGATGAATCCATTGCCTAGGGCACTGGTTTCAGTGTGGAGTCAAACAAGGCCTGAACTGAGCACAGTTGTTGCTGGGTCCACCTGGGCTTACACATTGTCCCTTACCACCTATGTCATCTTGCTATCTCCTCATCCTGATTCTTTCAATACATCTGTTCCCCTGGGTTATGTGATGAAAAGATCTCAGGCATTTTTAGGGCCTTGTCCATTGTCTGTGCTGTTCTCTCATATCTGCAGTTAGCCTGTTCAGACCTGTCCTCAGTTCTGTGTAGGAATCTGGTGTCATTGTCTTCTCTTGTCAACTGTCACTGAAACTAATAGGCACTGTTTCTGTATCTATCCAACAACAGATCTCAGGGCTATTCTATCAGTGATGTTAGAGTCAAAGTCTTGTTGATGACAGCCCTGTGTGTTATATGGTGTTGTATCATGTCTTTAATACCAACACAGAGCATGCTTTGTCAACAGGATGTTTCCAAGTTCAAAATTAACCTGGGCTACATAGTCAGGACCTATTCTAAACTAAGACATTAAAACATAATTGAACAAATTAAAAACTAAGTAGTATGTGGATCTGAGTTCTGCCTTGTCGCTGGTGTGTGTGAGTGCCGCTTGGGCAGATGAAATGAGAGGGTTCTAGGTTACATTCTATCCTCTCTACTATCAGGGTGTGGGGTGTGGAATGCAGCCTAAGATGAGGGCCCCAGCCGGGGTGAGAAACAATACAGGCTGAGGCCAAAGAGACAGGGGTTCCCAAATTCCCTGGGATCCACTCACCGCTGGGAATTGTGTGGAGTCTGAATGAGGAAGCTGCACAGGGCTGCAACCAGCCCAGGGGTGCATAGAGAGGGGGTTGGTGTGGAGGGACTCCAGCTTAGCTCAGGAGTGAGTGTCTGTGTCCAGAGGACAGAGGGGCCTTCTGCTGGAGACTTAGGTGGTGTGGCTCTATATGATAAAGGCTTCCCCCCATAGCAGTTCTTTATGAGAGAGATAGTCCTTGTTTGTCCAAACTGTTTATTCATTGTTTATTGTGGAAAGAAAATGAGTGCATATGACTTAGTTAATGTGGACCAGAGATTAAATATCTTTTGCAAGAAGAAATGTCCAGGAAGGGAAGCTTATTGACTAAACCCTCTAGGTTTGCCCATCCAGTCCTCATTGTCATGGAGAACTGTGTGCTACATGACTAGTGGTCACATTCTTTATGTGGGATGTTGTGGACATGTGTTCCAGGACATGTGTCCTCAGCTACCTGGCAAGGTCCTGTCCACCTCAGGCTACATAAATCAATATTTCACAAAAAAAGAGGAAATTAAACTGTTGACATATCCCCAGTGACAGAAAAAAAAAAGAAAGTGAAAATAAAAATTTGAAACAGAGAGAAAAAGGAGGGTGAGGGCAAATCCTTAGGTTGAACTTTCCAGCTGGAGACCTCAGGCAGGTGCTTCTGCTCTGAAAGCCAGCACTGGGGACTTCTACATACTTCCTCATTTACACTGTCACTTTCCTAAGCTGTGTGACATGCTCCTGTCTAGACAATGATGATATGATGCTGGAACTCATCTCCCTTGGGTGACAGGTTCCTAGAGTATCATGAGCTACCTTCAACTTCCCTTGAATCCATGGATAAATGACAAAGACACATACAATTGTTCAATTTCAACTTGCCTTTTGACATAATTTCTGGGCTCTACTATCTCCCACCTGAAAAAGCATGCTCTTATCAATATTCTTAGCTCCACACCTCCCCACCTGCCCTCAACTTTAGTTGTTCAGTTACATTGAGACCCTGCTAAACACCCCCAACTGCCCATCTATAGGAGTGGCCATAGGCTACTGCTTTGCCCGAGATCTCACATGGCTACTTGGCTTTTCACTCTCCAAAGCATGACAAACTCTCCTCTTCTCACTTACAATTGTTTCTTGCTTCCAGGAACTCAGAAGTCCCACCTATTCCTTCTGCCCAAAAATTGGTCCATGGCTTCTTTATTGACAGATCAAAAACCAATTGGGGAACAGGGCCTTAGCATTAGAACCACCCCTACACATCACCTTTTCTCTCAAAAAAAAAAAAAAAAGAAAGAAAAGAAAAAGAAAAAAACTCTTCTCCAGACATAAATTGAACAAAACCATAACAATCATGTAAATTACACAGTAGGGATATACAA